GGTGGGGGGTGGGGGGGGGGTGGGATATCCCGGCGGGATGTCCCAAAGATTCCGGCAGCGCCTCCAGGGTGGGGATTCCCGGCCGGCCCTGCCCTCCTGGCACGGCTCTGCGCCCCCCAAGTGTCCCCAGCCCTGGGGACCAGGACCTTGTCCCTCGTCCCGCCCCGTCCCCCCCCCGTGCTGATCCCGCATGGAATGGGAGCGACCCAGCGGAGAACAGCTGGGATAAGAGGGACCCTTCCAGCGTTTTCCCGGGATGGAGGGACCCTCTGGACACCCCTGGTGACGGTCACCGGGTGGCCAGGGTGGCGTGAGCAGCCCAGGGGTGGCCGGGCCGGTGTCCCCTTGGCGCTGGGACATGTGGGACCCCCTGGCTGTGCCACCGTGGGAATCTTGGATGGGGACAAAGCTCCTCAAAGCGCTGCTGTCCCCTTGGCATTGTCCCCATCCTGCCATGGTCCCCGTGGGAGGGACAGGGAGTGGGAAAGGAAAGGGATCTGACACCTGGATGAATCCCAGAAAATCAGAGTCCTCTGCTCTGGCCCATCCCATCCCATCCCATCCCATCCCATCCCATCCCATCCCATCCCTGCCACTCCACTTGTCCTCAGAACTATCCCATAAACTTCCTGCATCCCGGTGCCTCAGTTTCCCTGCTCGGCCTCCCATCTCAGCTCCCTCCTGGAAAACCGGGACACTCTGGAACGCTGCTGGGATCCACCACTGCCTCCATTGCCACCTCCTGGTTTTGGGAATGTTGATGAGCTCCAAGGATCCCATAAATCCATGGCTCCAGAGGGATGAGCTGAACGTGGCTGAAGATCCACAGGACGTGCCGCATTCCTGATAATTCCCGTTTTTCTGCTTCCCTGGCACAGCAGAGAAGGAATCACCTTTGGGAAGCTCTGACAGGGAAAAGCTGGATGTCCTGGGATCATTTGGATTGTTCCTGGGATCGCTGGGATCTTTCCTGCAATTATTCGGATTGTTCCTGGGATAATCTGGATTGTTCCCGAGATCTCTGGAATTGTTCCTGGGATGGCTGGGATCACTGCTGGGATTGTTTGGATTGTTCCTGGCATGGCTGGGATCATTTGGATCACTCCTGGGATGGCTGGAATCATTCCTGGGATCATTTGGATCGTTCCTGGGATGGCTGGGATCATTCCTGGGATGGCTCGAATCATTCCTGGGATCGTTTGGATCGTTCCCTGTTCCTTGGTGAGGCTGCTCCAGTGTTCCGTGGTGGCTCTCAGACCCTTGGAATTGTCTCCCACAATTCCCATTGCAGCTTCCAACGGGGCTGTGACCACGCCCCAGCCTTGGCGTGGACCTGTTCCCAGCCTTCCTACGGATCTTCTTCCAAATCCTCTTCCAGTCTTCCTATGGACATTTTCCCAGTCTTCCTACGGATCTTCCATCCAAGCTCCCAATGGATCTTCCCAACTTTCCTATGGACATTTCCTGACCTCCTCATGGATCTTCCTGTGACCTCCCACAGATCTCCTCTGACCTTCCCGTGGGGTTTTCCCCAACATTCCAGTGGAGGCTTTTCCAACATTCCCAAGGACCTTTTCCCAACCTTCCTAGGGATCTTCCTGAGATCTTCCTTCCAATGGATCCTACGGATCTTCCTTCCTTTTGATGGACCTTCCTCCAGTGCTGATCCCAAACATAGCCCTGACCCTGAGCCTAACCCTAATCCTAACCTGATCTTGATCCCGACCTGACCCTGATCCCAGCCTTGACTCTGTCCCTAATCCCGGTCCTAACCCGGACCCTGATCCCAAGTGCAAACCTGATCCCAGCCTTGACTCTGTCCCTAATCCCGATCCTAACCCGGACCCTGATGCTGACTCTGATCTTAGTCCTGAATCTGACCCTGATCCCAACCCTGACCCCGATCCTAACCCCGATCCTAACCCTGATCCTAACCCTGATCCCAACCCTGATCCTAACCCTGACCCTGATCCTAACTCTGACCTTGATCCCAACCCTGACCCTGATCCTAACCCTGATCCCAACCCTAACCCTGACCCTAACCCTGACCCTGACCCTAACCCTGATCCTAACTCTGACCCCAGCCTTGACTCTGAATTAACCTCAACCCTGATCCTGATTTTGATCCTGGTCCTAACCCTAAACCTGACCCTAACTTTAACCCTGATCCTAAACTTGACCCTAATCCTGATCCCAATTCACAGGTGATCCTAACCCTGATCTGGATCCCGATCCCAATCCTAATCCTAACCTTGATCCAGGCCCTGGTCCCAACCCTAACTCTGATCCTGACCCCAATCCCAACCCTGATCCCGATCCCAGTCCTAACCCTAATCCCACCCCTGGCTTTTCCTGGGAACTGGACAGGGATTCTGGGAACTGGGCAGGGATACTGGGAACCAGGCATGGATACTGGGAGCTGGGTAGGGATTCCGGGAAAGGATCAAACACTGTCCGAAGTTTTCCTGATCCCGGTCACTCCGGTGGATGGGACATGGCCATCCCAAAGGATCCGGGAGCAGGACACGGAATTCCTGCTGTCCTGAACCTGGCAGCTGTGGGATGAGCCCAGGGAAGAGCCCTGGGAGGAATCTTGGGATGAACCTTGGGATGAGCCCAGGGAAGAGCCCTGGCAGGAACCTCGGGATGAACCTTGGGATGAGCCCAGAGAAGAGCCCTGGGAGGAATCTTGGGATGAACCTTGGGATGAGCCCCAGGATGAGCCCTGGGAGGAATCTTGGGATGAGCCCAGGGAAGAGCCCTGGGAGGAACCTCGGGATGAGCCCTGGCAGGAACCTTGGGATGAACCTTGGGATGAGCCCAGGGAAGAGCACTGGGAGGAACCTCGGGATGAACCTTGGGATGAGCCCAGGGAAGAGCACTGGGAGGAACCTCGGGATGAACCTTGGGATGAGCCCAGGGAAGAGCACTGGGAGGAACCTCGGGATGAACCTTGGGATGAGCCCAGGGAAGAGCACTGGGAGGAATCTTGGGATGAACCTTGGGATGAGCCCTGGGACGAGCCTAGGGAGGAATCTTGGGATGAACCTTGGGATGAGCCCAGGGAAGAGCACTGGGAGGAATCCTGGGATACACCTCAGGATGAGCCCTGGGATGAGCTTTGGGATGAGCTGGGAGGAATCCTGGGATGAGCCCCAGGATGAGCCCTGGGAAGAATCTTGGGATGAGCCCAGGGAAGAGCACTGGAAGGAATCTTGGGATAAACCTTGGGGTGAGCCTAGGGAGGAATCTCGGGATGAGTCCTGGAATAAACCCTGGAATGATGCATAGGATGATCCAAGTGCCCCCAGTGCCAGGGGACAGTTCCCCCCTGGTGTCCCCGAGATATCCCAAATTTCCGTGACACGGGTGCCAGGATTGAGGGAATGAATCCACGGCTGGATCCGATGGCATGAGCCCCCCACGGCCGAGAGGAGCCTCGGGAACGACCCCGCTCCGGGTGTTCCCAGAAAGATCCGGAGCAGGGCGGGAGCTTCCGAGCACCCCACGCCTCTGCCCCACCCGGGAGCAGAGCAAATCCCCGGGAATGGCATCCAGCAGCCGTCGGGAAAGCGGGAACGCGGCCCCCGGCATTCCCGGAGCGTCGGGATCCGGCGCCGCTCTCCCGGGACGGGGCGGCGGCCTCGGGAATTCAGCGCTTGGCAGAAAAGGACAAGGAAAAATCAACCGGGAACGGCTCCGGGAGCCGGGACACGGATGGAGCCGGAGCTCCGCACACGGAACGGGACACGAGGACGGGACACGGGGACAACACGGAGGAAGCACAACCAGGAGCACAGAGCCGGCCATGCACGCTGGGAAATTCCCAGGGGGAATTCTCCGGCCCTCCCAACACCACGGGTTGCCCCTTCCAGCCCAAGGGAGCTGCAGTGGGAACAGCTTTTCCCGGGATCCTGCTGCTGCCGCCCCATCCCAGCCTGGGGAGTCCTTCCCGAGCTCCTGGAAGCCACTGGGATATCCTGGAATCATTGCTGGCAGAAGGGGAATCCCTGGATCCCAATCCTCCTGCTGTGGCCTCGGGTGACTTCCCAGGGGGATTGGGATGGAGCAGGTCCCAGGAGCTCCCTCCTCTGTCTCATGGAATTTTTTGCTCCAGAGGGGGACCTGGGACCCCCCACCCTGGGGAACCACGGATGGATCCTGGTGCATCCATGGTTTGCTGGGACTGGAATGGGGATGCTCTGCCCCCCTTCCCAGTGTCCTTCCCAGGGTCTTCTCCACCTTCCCCAGAATCTCTCCCACCATTCCTGGGGTCTTTCCCACCTTTCCTGGGGTCCTTTCCCCCTTCCTGGGGTCTTTCTCACCATTCCTGAGGTACTTTCCCACTTTTCCTGGGGTCCTTTCCCCCTTCCTGGGGTCTTTCCCACCCTTCCTGAATTCCCTCCCACCCTTTCTGGGATGTCTCTCACCCTTCCTGGGGTTCTCCTGCCTTTCCTGGTGTCTTTTCTGGGATCCTTTCCCACTTTTCCTGGGGTCTCTCCCACCTTTTCTGTTCTTCCCTCCCTTCCCGGGATCTTTTCCATCCTTCTGGGGTGTTTTCCACTTTTCTTGGAATCTCTCCTACCTTTCCTGGGATCCTTTTCCCACCTTTCCTGGGGTCTCTCCCTACTTTATCTGGGATCTCTCCCACTTTTCTTGGAGTCTCTTCCAACATCCTTGAGACCTCTCCCACCCTTCCTGGGATCCTTTCTCACCCTTCCTGGTGTTCTTCCCTACACTTCCTGAGGTATTTTCCTGCCTTTCCTGGGGTTTTCTCACCTTTCCTGGGATTCTTTCCCACTTTTTTTGGGGTCTCTCCCACCTTTCCTGGTGTCCTTTTCTTTTCCCACCTTTCCTGGTGTTTTCCCACCTTTCCTGTGATCCTTTCCCACTTTTCTTGGGGGTCTCTCCCACCTTTCTTGCTGTCCTTTTCTCTTCCCACCT